GCCAAGCGACCGCCACCGGGGCGTGCTTCTTCGGCGAGCATCCGCCCAGCTCCAACATGGCGACCGGCGAGCTGTGCTGTCACCGAGCAACCGGCTACGTGAGCGGCCGCCCCTCCCTGCGATTGGCTCGCTGGGCCCGGCCTCCCCTCGGCCCGCCCCGCACCAACATGGCCGCCGCGCCTGCGTCATCAGGGGCGCGCCAGGAGCGGCGTCGCCTCGTCGAGGGTGCGGTGAGGGCGGCCGCGGCTACCGCGGGAGGGGACCGAGGCGGCGGGAGCGGAGGCGGCCGAGCAGGGCTCGGGATGGTGCCCGGGGCCGAGGGCCCGGCCCGCGCCGGCGGTCTGGTGGCCGACGTGGTCTTCGTCATCGAGGGCACGGCCAACCTGGGACCCTACTTCGAGGGGCTGCGGAAGCACTACCTGCTGCCGGCCATCGAGTGCGTGCGTGCGTGCGTGCGTGCGTGCGCGGCCCCGCCGCGATCCCTGACCCCCAGCGCCCCGCGCAGAGCCGGGGGCCCTGACGCTTGACCCCCCCCCCCCCCCCCCCGACCCGTGCCTCCGGGCAGCCCTGACCCCGCCCACTTCTCTTTCTCGTCCCCAGGTACTTCAATGGGGGCCCCCCAGCGGAGACCGACTTTGGAGGAGACGTGAGAAAGGGGCCCTGGAGGGAGTGGGGCCAGGGGAGGGGTCTGGAGGGGCAGGGGGGTCCTTGGAGGGTAGAGGCAGGGCTCGGTGCAGCCTGCCTGGGGGAGGTGAGCACGGCAGCTGCTGCTCCTCCCGTGTCCGCAGTACGGGGGCACCCAGTACAGCCTGGTGGTGTTCAACACCGTGGACTGCGCTCCAGAGTCTTACGTCCAGTGCCACGCGCCCACCAGCAGCGCTTATGAGTTTGTCACGTGGCTGGACGGCATCCAGTGAGTGCCAGGGCTGGGGCTGGGGCTGGGGGCTTCGTGAGGGCGGTGGGCCGCTCATCCCGGCTCCTGTCTCCCCGCAGGTTCATGGGTGGGGGCGGCGAGAGCTGCAGCCTCATCGCAGAGGGGCTGAGCACGGCCCTGCAGCTCTTCGATGACTTCAAGAAGATGCGGGAACAGATGTGAGCCAGGGCCCCGGGGTTGGCAGGATGGGCCTGGGCCGGCTTCCCGTTCTCCCTTGCTGAGGGCCCCCTTTCTCCTCAGCGGCCAGACGCACCGGGTCTGCCTTCTCATCTGCAACTCGCCCCCGTACCTGCTGCCGGCCGTGGAGAGCACCACGTACTCTGGCTACACCACCGAGAGCCTCGTGCAGAAGATCGGGGAGGTCAGCTGAGGCCTGGCCGGGGCGGGCTGGGGCCTGCACGGGCTGCTTCTGGGGGCCGACTCTGAGACGCTTCTCTGCCTCACAGCGAGGCATCCACTTCTCCATCGTGTCCCCGAGGAAGCTGCCAGCCCTGCGGCTCTTGTTTGAGAAGGCGGCTCCCCCTGCGATGCTGGAGACGCAGCCGGCAGACGTGAGCCAGGACCCACGGCACATGGTGCTGGTGCGAGGCCTCGTGCTGCCCGGTGAGTGCCCAGGCTGGGAGCGTGTGTGCCTGTGTGCATCTGCGTGTGTCTGTGTCTGTGAGTTTGTGTGTGTGTGTGTGTGGGGGGGGTGTCAGGGTGTATCTAGAAGATCAGGAGCAATGCTTTGCCTCTTCCCTGTGACGGCCAGGTGTGGTACCAGCCCCAGCTTTAGTGATCAGGGACCCAGTTCCTTGGTGAGCCGCCAGGGGCTTCAGGTGCAAAAGAAGGGGAGCAAAGGGGCCGCTTGGTTCTGGCTCACCCTGGTCCAAGGGTCCCGACCCTGCAGGGTGCGGAGGGTCCGGGGCCACAGTGGTGGATAGCTCCTGGCTTAGGCCTAGCATCCCAGTGCATGGCTGAGGTTGCCTCGTTTCTCTCCTGCACCCTGGCCTCGCATCTCGTTCTTCCGGCCATAGTGTTTTTCTCTCCTTTCTGTGATCCCCTAGTCGGTGGAGGTTCTGGCCCAGGCCCCCTCCAGCCCAAGCAGCCCGTGCCACTGCCTCCGGCACCACCCCCTGGGACCTCCCTCTCGGCAGCGCCCCCCCAGCCACTGCCCCCCGTCTCCCAGCCTTACCAGGTACGGCCTTGGGACCAGGTCAGCTGGGAAATGGGGGAAGGGCCGGGTTTGGGGATGGCAGTGGCTCCCAGGGCTGTTGGCTCCCCCTTCTAGGTGTCCAGTAATCTCAGTGCTGCCCAGGTGGCTGCTCAGAATGCAGTGGATGCTGCCAAGAACCAGAAGGCGGGCCTGGGCCCACGCTGTGAGTGGGGGAGGGGGAGGGGGAGGGGGGGAGGGGGCCCTCCGTGGGGGCCCCCAGGCCCTGGCTCTGCAGCTTGTTTTCTCTTCTGGCAGTCTCGCCTATCAACCCTCTGCAGGCAGCGGCCCCAGGAGTGGTCCCCCCGTTCAGCCAGGCCCCAGCCCCTCCGCTTCCTCCTGGGCCCCCTGGGGCTCCCAAGCTGCCTCCCGCCTCCCAGCCCAGCCTGGTGGCAGCAGTTGCCCCCGGGCCTGGGCTGGCCCCTCCTGCCCAGCCTGGAGGGCCCCCCATGGTACGTGCTTGCCCCATCTGAGCTCTCTGCAACACATGCCATTCTCTTAGGGTCCCCCCACCCCAATTTCTCCCTGCAAGGGCCTCCCTTTTTTCCTGGGCTCTGTGGCTAATCCTCCGCTCTCTTGTGTCTGCTTTGAGCAGGCTGGCCCCGTGGCTACAGCGGGGGTGAGTGGCCCGAGCCCGGCTCAGCTGGGAAACCCTGCACTCGGGGCTGGGCAGCAGTCAGTCACCAACAAAGTCCTGGCATGGAGCGGTGTCCTTGAGTGGCAGGAGGTAGGTGGGTCTGGGGCAGAGGGGGCGAGGTGGGTGGTCAGGGAGGAGGGGCCCCCCTGACACTCCCTTCCCCTCCCAGAAGCCCAAACCGGCCTCAGTCGATGCCAACACGAAGCTGACGCGGTCGCTGCCCTGCCAGGTCTATGTGAACCAGGGAGAGAACCTGTGAGTGGGGGGGGGAGTGTGCAGGGAGGCTGGGGGGCGGGGAGGGGGGAGGGGGGAGGGGCGAGGACCGCAACTCTGCTCTGTGCTCCGCAGGAAGACTGAACAGTGGCCCCAGAAGCTGATCATGCAGCTTATCCCGCAGCAGCTGCTGGTGAGAGCAGGGCCTGGGCCTGTCCCTTCTCCCCAAGCTGCCGTCCCATCCCAGGCTCCCTTGGGCCATGTTGCAAAGCCCTCCACTGCCCCCTATTCTTCGCCTCGTCCCTCCTCCCCAGGCCTCTGATCCTTCCTTGGGGGGGGGAGGCCCACTGCCTTTGTTGATTATGTCTTTGTTTTTTTTTTCTGCAGACCACATTGGGTCCCCTCTTCAGGAACTCCAGAATGGTCCAGTTTCATTTTACCAACAAGGATCTGGAATCTCTCAAAGGCCTGTACCGCATCATGGGCAATGGCTTTGTGAGTGGGCCAGTGTGGGAAGGCGGGGCCTCTGCTCCTAGGCCTCCCTGAGCCCCCAGGGGTGGGGTGGGATGGGTGAGGCCTCCCTGAGCCCCCTGGGGTGGGGTGGGATGGGCGAGGCCTCCCTGCGCCCCCCCCCCGTAGGGCCTCTGCCCCGCTCGGCCTCGTTGAGCCCCCCTGCTCCCTCTTCCCCAGGCCGGCTGCGTCCATTTCCACCATACTGCACCGTGTGAGGTGCGTGTCCTCATGCTTCTCTACTCCTCCAAGAAGAAGATCTTCATGGGGCTGATCCCCAACGACCAGAGCGGCTTCGTCAATGGCATCCGCCAGGTCATCACCAACCACAAGCAGGTGCAGCAGCAGAAGCTGGAGCAGTTGCAGCAGCAGCAGCCGCAGCCACCGCCACGCGGGGTGAGTGTGCGGTGACCCTGTGCTGAGCCCGGCTGCGGAGGCCCAGCTTCTGACGCCTTTTCTTCTCCCTGCAGATGGGGGGACCACAGGCCCCCCCCGGACTGGGCCCCCTCCTGGAGGAGCAGCAGCGGGCCCCCCAGAGCCTGGTGAGGCCAGGGCCGGATGGGGGGCAGGGTGGGGCAGGGGTCCTGGATCCCCCTCTTTGGCTCAGACCTGCTTCATCTTTCCATCCCCTCCAGCTCCAGCTCCGCCAGCCACAGCCGCAAGCCCCAGGCGGGGTAGGAGTAGGGGTGACTGGGACAGGTGGACAGCCTCAGCCTCCCCCAGGCCCTGCCCAGCCCCCTCCAGGGGGCCCCCCTCCAGGAGCACCCCCTCCTGGAGCTGCCCCTCCGGGACCTCTCCTGCGGCCCCAGAACCCAGGTGCCAACCCCCAGTTGCGGAGCCTGCTGCTGAACCCGCCACCCCCACCGCCAGTGAGAGGGCGCTAGAGGGGGCGATTCAGGGGCTGGCCAGGGTTTGGAGGGTACAGGGAGGCCAGAGAGCCGGGTGGGGCGGGGGGCGGTCCGGGGAAGGCCACAGCCCAGCACCAAGCGCTCTCGTGTCTTCTCTTTCTCTTCTCTAGCCCCAGGCTGGGGGTCCGCCACCCCAGGCCTCCCTCCACCACCTGCAGCCTCCAGGAGCCCCAAGCCTGTTGCCTCCCCCACACCAGGGCTTGGGCCAGCCACCCTTGGGCCCTCCTTTGCTGCACCCCCCACCCACTCAGCCTTGGCCTGGACCGCTTCCCCCACGGGCCCCTCTGCCAGGTGGGGGGGAAGCTTTGGGTGCGGGAGGGGCCGTAGATTGGGGAGCCAGCTCTGAAGGAAGCCGGAGTCTGACACCTTCCCCCCTCCGACTTTTTCTTCTGTTCAGGTCAGATGCTATTGAGTGGAGGCCCCAGGGGTCCAGTGCCCCAGCCTGGTCTGCAGCCCCCCAGTGTCATGGAGGAGGACATTCTAATGGACCTCATCTGAGACAGGCCCCCAACCTAATAAAGCTTTCTCATTCCCCCAGCCTCCAACAGTGCTTGGGCCTGCACTCTGATAGGGCGCGCGCCGAGGAAGGTGGGCAGACAGACGAGGGAGGTGCCATGAAAATAACTTTTATTGGCGGGGAGGGTGGACTCAGCCTTCTGAGAACTGACGGTAAAGAGATGCGTGCTGGGCATCCGTGAAACATGGGCGAAAGGGGATCTCCAGGATCTGTGAGAAGCCCTCGGTCAGAGAGGGAGCGACAAACTGCTTCCTGGACAGGAGGGGTCTGGGGTCAGGTCACGTTCTCTCTCCTCCAGGCCCCACCTCCAGCCCCCTGTGCCTGGGCAGTACCTGTAGCTGAACAGGACCATGTCAGAAACCGAGGGGTGGGCAGAACCAATCATCTCTCGGAACTGGGGGGAGAAGTCACAGTGTGAGAAGGTCAGAGGGCTGGGGGTCAGAGGCCAGGGTCACGGTCAAAGGCAGCCGCCCCTCCTCACCCGGTTATTGTGTCGGGCCAGATCCAGGGAAGCCGTGAAATGGAAACATCTGCAGGGGACCCCGGCATCCTTGGCACATGAGATATACCTGACGGGTGGGGGAAGGGGAGGTTGAGGGGCTCTCTCTGGCCCCTTCCTGCCCTACCCCCACTCCACCTCGGTACCTGGCCCGGCTCGTGGGGTCAGGGTTGGTGTTGTCCACCACGGCACGGCCCCCAGCCTTCAGGGCCTCGGTGCACAGCGCCACACACTTCTGCCAAGAGCCCAGAGTGTCCTAGGGGAATATGTATAGGGACTCAGCCTGGGGCCTCAGCTCAGAGCCCTGGCCTTCTCCACTTTAACCAGCTGGGGACCCAGGGGACAGACAAATCCCTTTGCCTCAAGTGTCTGTGGATGATATCTGGAAACAGGACAACTGTTCCCAGAAGCCACATGAAGCCTCTGCTAGAAGGGAGGTGTCCGTCCACCCAGCCCTGTACATACTCGGTTTGCATAGACGTAGCCAGCTGACACCAGGTGTTCCTGGAGAAAAGTTGACTTCCCAGCTGTGGGAAGGGAGAGGGGCAGAGAAATCAGAGATGGTCTAGAGAAGGGTAACGGGGATGGGGAGAGGGGAGTCAAAAGCTGCCTCACCCGCGGGGAAACCAACAGCAACGATGATCTCGGGGCCAGGGCCCACGAGAGGCCCAGTGGGGGGCAGGCACAGCGGCCCTGTGGGGCTCAGAGTTCTCTGCAGGCAATCGGGAGGAGAAATGAGACGAGGCCCCAGGGAGGGCTCCTTTGTGTATCCACCTCCCATCCAGAGCTCCCCAAACCTCACCGGGTCAAAGTCTGGGAGTGTAAAAGGGGCCGGGGCCCAGTTCAAGAAAAACTCTTCAGGAGTTGAGAATCGCAGCCCAAGGTTCAAGGCAAACTGAGAGAGAGAAGGCAGCATCAGAAGGAAGTCCTCCCCTAGGCTGGACTTGAGGCAGGGGCTGGGGAGACAAGCCCTCACCAGCCGGTCCCCACAAGAGAAATCCTTCTTCTTCCGGCCAGGAGCCCAGTTGGCTTGGCGTCCTGCAGCATCTAAAAAGGGAGCCGGTGTCAAATCGCACTGCTTTGGGAGGTGGACGCCCCTCAAGCCCCCTACCTGGTCCCAAACTGCTTCTGACCTCACCTCCCACATAGACGCTGTCGGCCAGGGAAACAGGGACTCCCTCGTTGGCCTGAGAGAAATGAGAACGAAGATGCTGAGGGTCACGGCAGTGGTAGAGAGAAAAGCAGGGCTGGGTCCCCAGGGTGATGGGGGCCGAGACCCCCAGAAACAAGCATCTCCTGCCCTCCCACCCCAAAGGCAGCCCAGGGGCACCTGCTCACACAAGTGATCCCACATGCCTGTCACTGGCTTCCGGTAAAGCCCCGAGCTTGTGGCCACCAGCACCTGCAGGGAGAAAGATACCCGGGAATGGTGGAGAAGCCCCCCTCAGGTGGTGGTTCCCACCTGTTGCTGCCATTTTGCCTCGTGCCCACCTGGAAATGGACCCCCAGGGCATCCAGCACGGCTTCCACCTTGGCCTGAAAGTCTTGGGGTCGCAGCCGACCTCGCCCGATGCCCAACTGGTTGGTGAAGATGACTAGCTGCAGAGGATGGAGGCAGAGGAGGGGAAGTCATTCTGGGAGTCCCCGGATCCCTGCCTCCCCAGCCTGCCCCATGTCTCCCCTGCAACTTTGTACCTTGTACCTTTGGGTCAAAGGGCCCCACCTACCTTGTAACCGTCGGCCTCAAGCTCTCGGAGCCGCTTCGGGATCTCCGGGAACAGGATCCTGGTGGGGGAAGGGAGGGAGGCGATAGCACAGGGGAAGCCCCCCATGCCTGGTCGAGGGGCCCCCCAGACCGCGGCCTCACCTCCAGTCCTCGGGGCCCGTGGGGAAGACCTTCCCAGAGCGGGTGGTGATGAGGGTCCCATCCAGGTCGAAGCCCGCCACCTGGGGGGACAGAGCGCCTAGGGTGAGGGCCGGAGTAGAGACCCCCCCAACCCCTCCCCACCCCCGGGCCCGTGGGCCGGGGTGCTCACCTTCTTGCTGGCGCGGGCCCCGGGGGCCGTGAACACCAGCAGGGGCCCGAGCTCCTGCCAGCCGTGGGGGCCTCGGAGCCGCTTTGTGGGGGGCTCTGGCGGGGCCCCCTGCGCCTCCTCCTGCACCTGGGGGTCGGGCTCCGGGGCCCCCGCGGTGCTGCGCAGGGTCAGCGGGTACAGGCCGTTCACCAGCAGCAGCGTCTCCCCGACGGCCAGCGGTGCGTGGGAGCCGGGATTCAGCTGGGTGCCCCCAGCCGTGGAGGGGTTCACGCCCAGCTGGGGGGGGAGAGGGGGCAGGGCCCGCCCCCGGGTGTGTGTTGGGGGAGGGGGAGCCAGGACCGACCACCCCGATCCCTCCCTCCAGACCACCCGGGACCCCACGCTGTTACCTGCGTCACCATCACAACTTGAGACTCGGGGTCCACGCACAGCTCCACTGATGGGGGAGGGGGAGATAAGGTCCCGCCCGCTCGGTGCCCAGGCCCCGCCCCCCACCTCCACCCCCACCACTGTTCCCCACCTTGGCTGCGAGAGCACTTCCGGTCGGTGACTCGAGTCAGTGGTCCCCGACCCAGCACGAGACTGCGGCCCGCGGGAGGCAACGGGATCGGGGGCGGCCCTCCGGGAGGGCTGTGCAGCCACAGGCAGGGTTCCGGGGTCGCCATGCCTCCTCCCGCTGACTGTACCGGCTTCAAGACCGCCACAGGAAGTCCCGCCTGGCCCGTTCGAGCGCGGCCGGAAAATGAAGGCCGGCTTGTGGATTCGGCCCGCCCCTTTCCTTCCGGTGGGGTGAGGCCGCGCCCACTTCCAGAATACCTCCCCCCACACCCATCCCTTCCCTAAGAGACAGTCATAGTCAAAGTCAAACTCTTTATTCGCAGGCGTTCCCCCTGCCCCTTCCCACCCTCACACGGGCGGGCAGGGCCCTTTAAGGCATGTGTGGGAACGGAGGCTTAGCTTAGCAAGCCGCCGAGGGCGAGGGGCAGCAGATCGGCTAAACCCTTCCCAGGAACAGGCCAATTGGGGGTGGGTAGCGTCATCGGATAGGTACTAATGCAATTGGGCCATCCCTGAGGTGGGGCGGGACCAGGACAGGGCGGCTGTAGTGTCGAGAGTGGGGGCTTCGTTGCCCGTAGTACGGTCTTTTCCCGTTTCCCCCTCCGATAGCGGAGCCACTGGCAGTTCAGGCGCTGATTGGATCCTCCTAAAAGGGGAGGGCCCAAAGGAACTAAGGCTGCGGTCAGCCAAGGGCAACACCAGGTCTGTGCGAGGAGCTGATTGGATGCCCCCGCACGCTTCCCTAAAGGGTGCCCGAGAAGGGAGTCTGGGATTGGCCAGGGCCTGTCGAGGAGGGAAATTAAGTGGAAACTCAGGGGGTTGATTGGATACTTCCATTACCCTCCCCCTAAGCACGGGAAGAGCAAGAAAAAAAAAACGGAGGGGGGAGAGGAGGAGCAGCGAACGAATCCGGGATTGGCCAGGCCTGGGCGTGCCAGGGGCGGGGCCAGAGGGCAGAGCCCGCCCGGCGCGGGATCCAGATGCAGGAGATAGGGAGAGGAAAGGAGAGGGGAAGGGGTAGGAGGAGGCGCAGGAAGGCGCCCCCCCCCTCAGTATTTCCGCTTCAGCTTCTGGAAGTCGCTGGTGTTGAGGCGGGGCCGGGGGAGGTCTCCGAACACCTGGGAGCCCTCCGCCTCGCGCAAGACCAGCGCCTGCATGCTGGCCGCGATGCGCTCCAGGTCCGGGGAGGAGGGCTGCGGGCAGGGGGCAGCTGGTCAGCCAGGGCTGCGCTCAGTCCCTGCCCTCCCCACCCAGGTCAGCTCCCCCGCCCAGCCCCCAGCCCCCCCTGGCTCACCGGCCCGTTCTCCTCGTCCGAGGACCTGGTCTCGGTTCTTTTGTCTTTAAAGCCCCAGACGGGCACCGACACAGGCAGGGACTTGGCATACTGCTGGGGGGCCTGGCTTACACACGGAGGGCCGGCGGGTGCCTCTTCGCTCAGGCTCCCATCATCCGTGCTCTCGGGGTCCGACTCACAGAACGGGGGCAGGTCCTCATGGGCAGTGTCTTCATCCATCACAAAGAGGCCTGAGGGAGGGCAGGGGCACAAACTGCAGCCAAGGTCCCTCACTCTTGCCTTGTTCCATCAAAGGATGGGAGATCTCTCTTCCTGAAGAGTTCCCCAGGCCTCCCACCCCACCTCTGCACAGGTTAGGAAGTTTTTCCTAGTTCTGACCTCTGGGGCTTCCACCCTGCAGATAACTGGACTGATGGCACAAATTCCTTCTCTACCCTCCACCCCATTTTGATGTTCTCAGCATGGCCTCCCATTCTCACCTCCATCATCTCCCAGTCCCAGCCTGCTCCCTGATGTCTCTGTTTCTGTCTCTTCTTCATCCTCGTTGCCCTCGTCTTCCTCCTCCTCCTCCTTCTTGTCTTCCGGCCTCCGAGGATGGGGAGAACTCCTTGGGCTAGGGGCCTGGGGCTCTGGTGCAGGTGGTGGTGCAGGGGGCCTGGCAGCCGCTGCCCGATGGGCCTGTGCTATGTCATGTAAGCAGCGTCTGGCAGCTTCGGCCAATGCGCCCCGGCCATGGGCTGCGTAGGCACAGGGGCCTGGCCGAGGTGGGGGCGGGGGTGCAGCCGTCAGCAGCACCAGCTCCGTACCTGTCTGTGCCCGAAAACGCTCAGCTGCCCCCACCACAGCTTCCCATAGCTCCTCAGGGCGCCCGGATGCCATCCACGCCCTGGGGAGAGAAAAGACAGGGTGACCCAGGCAGAACCCATCAGAGATGGTCCAGCACTTGGAAATCCCCGGCCCCTCCACACACACACATAAGATACACACCCGAGCAGAGAAGAAAAGGGATTGTAAACGACAAAACGTTAACACCCAAAGAGACCTGAAGTGGCTGTTTAGTCCAATGCCCTCCTTTGCCAGAAAAGGCTCCAAAGGCCCAGAGAGGACCCTGGCCAGACCGTCACCCTGTCACCGATGAGGCCTGGACAGACTTCCCATCAGACACTGCCATGGGGGGGTGCGACCAAGGCTGGAAGCTGTTGATCTCACCCCGGCTCAAGGGCGGGTGACATGGAATGCCTGAAGGTAGGGATTTGGGGGCAAGTGTAATCCAGAAGGATTTCCAGGAGGGGAAAAGCCACAGAGTCCGGAATTGCATCCAGGTTTCCACCTAAGAGAGAATCCCCTCCACACCTGCCACCAGTCCCCCCAGTTTGGGCATGGAACAGTTGCTCAGCTCCGCCCTCCACGTGGGAAAACAGGAAGTCCTGCCCCTTGTGGGCGGGGCAAGGAGCTCCGAGGTAAGAGGCAGCCCCAACCCAGTCGCGAGAAGAAAGCCAATCACCCCTCCTCCTCCCCCCTCCCCCTTTAAGGAGAAAAAAGGATGTCCCGCCTCCCGGGGCGGGGAAAGACTAACGTTGAAAGCTGCCTTCAGGAAAAGGGGGCTGAAGCCGGAAGTTCCGCCCTTGCGTGGGAGGGGGGCACGCCATCAGTCGGACCCCAGACAACCCCCCCCACCCCCTATCTTCCCGGCATAGGGTACGGACTTGGGTCGGAGAGATTCTGGGGCGAGCGCGGGGCCTCGGCCCCCTCCACCCACGAGAGGATGGCTGCACCCTCCGCTCGCTTACCTCGGCCGGGCTCCCGTCTCCCTGCCTCCCTCCCCGCCAGCCTTCGTTCTTCCCCAGGCGTCCGCGCCGCCGCCGCTCACGTGCCTGCGGCCAGCATGGCGGGCCTGGCGCCCTCACGGGGCATGGCGGCCTCGGCGTCACTTCCGCCCGGCGCTAGCCTCGCCGCAGCGCCCGCGACCCGCCGTCGGCGTGTCTCCGCAACCTACCCCGGCTCTGCAGGGAGGGTCCCACCCGACCTGCCCTTAAGCATCATGGCGGCCGCGCGGCTTCACGCCCCGCCCCCTGCCGAGGTCCGTGGCGCTGCCGCCACAGACCTTATCCCTGAGGGCGGCCGCTCCGCCTTCGGCCTGCGAGCGTGGCCGGGTACAACCACGCCCTCGCACTGGGGGCCCACGACACCATGGCCGCTGCCTTCCTCTGGATGACTCCCGCTCCTCTTCCCTTCCTCCCCCCACTTCCTGGCACAGAAGTGGTATGCCCCGCACCAACATGGCGCTCAGAGCGCTGCGCAGCTCGTTTCCTTGAACGATGGCAGCACTGCTGCGGCATCCCTAAGTATCCGAGCAGACAAGGCGGGGCACGCGCAGGGGGGCGCGGCTTGGCCTCCTCCTTCTTTGTTTACCTCTTGCTGGGAGCCCACGTGACGCGCCGGCGCAATGCCCACTCCCAGCACCGCCCCCCCATTGCGTCTGCGCGGGGCGCATTTGTCTCTCCTCTTCCTCCTCGATTAGTGGTTTGATCCACTGGCCGCCGAGGAAACGAGCGGACGCTACCATTTCGCTCCCTTTGAGGGGAGCTACGGCCCGCCGGATATGACGTAAATAGTTTATCTCTGGAGGCGAAGCGAGCTAGGGGAGTGGCTTCGGCCCCAGCTGCAACTATGGAGGAGGCTGGCTACCGGGTAAGAGGTTAAGGAGAACCTAAGAGGCCTCCGGCTTGACCCTTCCCTCCGTCCTTTAGGAATCTCGTCTTGCCCTTCTCTGACCCTTCCATCCTACCCTCCTGGCCCCCGATCTCTCAGCGCATGCGCCTCCTTCGGGCCCGAACCCTAGGTAAAATGCATCCGCTTCCCTGGTCTTTCAGCACATGCCCAAGCACTGCCCTCTGGTGGAACCCCCCTTCCTTGCTCCTGGCAATGCGCATGCGGCCCTCCCGCCCCCTGGCGCGAGCATCCCCCTCTCCCCAACTTCTGTGCACACGTGCAGGCTGTTCCTGAGTCTCACACTCCCTTCCTGCCGCCTGCAGGTGGTATTCGAGAAGGGCGGAGTGTTCCTGCACACGAGCGCCAGGGGGCGCCACCAGGACCCAGGCTCCCTCATTGCAGGCGTACTGCGCCTGCTCGAGAAGGTGGGTCCCAGGAGGTGGGCGTGTCTTTGGTCGTGGGGGTGGGGTCGGAGGAACCCAGGCGGGCGGGTCTTTTAGCTGCACCCTACGGGAGTGGAACTCAGGCGACCCCGAGTCCTTTGGCCTTTGTTTTTTTTTTCCCCCTCTTTGCCCTTCCCCCACCCCAGGACAATGATGTCATCCTGCATTGGGCCCCAGTGGAAGAGGCTGGAGACTCCTCCCACGTGGTCTTCTCCAAGAAGGTGGGTGCCCCGACCCCCAGGTTACATTCAGGGCCCCTCCCCCACGGTGATGGATTCAGGACTCCTTTCTACCCAGATACATTCAGGACCCCACAGCCTGTCCTTGTGCCACTTTGGGGGGCTCAGTGTCTGCCTTTTCAAACCCAAAGTGACAGGGGCAGAAGATTTGGGTTCAAACGTGGTGCAGTTCATGTTTGAAGTTTTGACTTCTGGGTCCCTCATTCCTCACCTGTTATAGGGTTAGGTCACCTTGTTCCAGGGGTGGGGCCCAGAAATGCCAGGGCAGACACAGTGTCCAAGGTTTTGCTATGCCATTCTGCCCCAGGATCCTGGTGGGGGAGACCCCTGCCCCTCAGAGGAAGAGCCGACTTTTGACCCTGGCTATGAGCCCGACTGGGCTGTGATCAGCACCGTGCGCTCCCGGTCCCGGCCCCCTGAGCCTGCCCCAGGTAAGTCCGTGGGTCCCTAGCCCAACAAGGCCCAGAGGCGGCGAGGGCCAGGACTTGGGTCCTGACAGCAAAGGTGG